TAATTTTATGTTACACACATGCTAGATGCTAATAGCATCTAGCATGTGTGAACAGCTATATTTATCTTTTCTTTAAATTTTTTAGACAGTTATAAAACTGCTGTAGAACGAATGGAAACATTAGAGTTCACATCAAGCGTTGAAACAGCTGCTGATAGTGATGAAAAATTGTCCATGCCACCAGCTAAAAAGTTAGCAGTTTGCAAAACAAGTGACACTGAGGAGACATATCCATCAGTTTCCCCAAGATTGAAGAAATCTTTTAATTGCCAAAATATTTTAAAATCCACAACTGTTCAAGATATTGAGCTATTTAGTTCGAATCGTTCTCTACCGATATTTTCCTCTTCTGATCATACCTGGCAACTGTTTTGGCTGCTTTAGGCACCCGATTTGCTGGTAAAGAATTACATTGATGGGTTATTTGTTTGAATGTTTAATTAAATGTAAACATTTAATATATTTTTGAATGTAATTATACTATTTTTTCTTAGTTTTTTGTGTTGACTTTATAAAAAGCTAATCTATTTAGTTGGCTTTTTATTAAAATCAGATTTATTTTTTTATTGCAGCATTTGAGAAGAAAAGTTTAGAGCTGCTTGTCAGTATTCAATACGATTTGAAAAAGTTAAACACTCGCCTAATCAATTTAGAAAAAGGTTTATTGTTTCCTTCTGTTAGCAATCAGAGCATAGCTGGACCATCCCCATCAGTTAAATGGAATTATTTGCCTGTTAAAGAGGAAAAAGATTTTCTAGACCTGGATGAAAAATTACGAAACACCTATGGTATGTATCAGTGAATTGATATCAGTTAATATTTTTTATAAACATTTCCATGTGCATTTAACATATCTATACTATAAAATATACTATACATTTGATTTTAATTAAGATATGGAAAAGAATGCTTTATATAAAGTATATTTATTAAATTGTGTTGTGGTTTTAACCATTTATGCCCAGTTAGCTCATTTAGTAGAGCAATGAGCCTACTAATCATAGGGAGCCTCACATTAAATACTTGAAATTGCATTCACCCCGATTTTTTTGCTGTGGTAAAGACAACTTATGCTAGTGAATGAAAAATCTGATACTATAGTATCAGATTTTTTACACAATATATTGTCTAATTATTGGTAGGGGTATGAGAAGCTCATAAACCTGTATGAAATTTTATGTAGTATTCTTCCTAGTGTTTTTATCACTTTATAAAACATTTATGACAATAAGTCTTGATCACCAAAACAGGTTGACCTCAGAGATTGCATCGATTTATAACAAATTGCTTTTTCTCCATGTCATATTTGAATATCTCATTATAAAAAATGACGTTGTAATATTATGGAAACCCGTTCGAAATACACACATTTATGGAACCATTAAACTTTTATTACAACCAATTATAATTATATATTTTTGTAAACAAACTCGATTTTTTTTTGTTTTATTTGTTTTAGATGAACTTCCTTGCATCGGTTGGAGGCGACGATTACAAGCAACTTACCACGGCTATCTTAAAACAACTAATGGCTAAAAAAGTATGCTTATTATACTCTATGTATGGCAATAAACAAAAGAAATTATTTTCGTCTCTTACGTCCTGCAAGGTGGTTATAGGTAATTTATTTAATTATTTATCTTCGTATTTAGTTGAATTAATAAGTTTGATAACTTTTAATATTACATTTTGTTCATGTTTTGTTTAACATTATTAACTTAAAGTTTGTTTGCAGATGCCATAAAAAAAAAGTTTGAAAACGCTAATGACAAAAGCATTAAAGAAAGAAAGAATCGGCAGCTTTCTGGCAACGGCCATTGATAGAGAAGGCAGAAGAAAGAATAGAACCGCAATTAAGCAAAGCCCACTATTGAGGGATAGTGAGAGTGTAATGCTGTAATATATTTATATATATATATATATATATATATATATATATATATATATATATATATATATATATATATATATATATTCATTTGTATCAGTTTAATATAACTTCTAATAAATTTATTATTAGATTTTAAAAAGCCTTATTTTTTCAAAGCGTTCCTAGATTATTATCACCTTCTGAACTATAACTCAAGTTATATACAATTATAGTCTAAACTATATACAAAAATATAGTATAGACTATAGTCTATACTAAAGGCTGCAATATTCTTTCGGGTTAAACAATTCATCCCCTCTGTATTATCTTGTTCTATCTTAAAACGTAATAAATAAAATGTTCTATCTAATATATAAAATAAATTCAAAAAGTATATATAAATATAAAAACATAAAATGTTCTACCTGATATAATATATTATATTATATTACATAGAACATTGTATTTATTTATATATAATTTTTTTTTTGTATTTTACATATTAGATAGAACATTGTGTTGTATTTTTAACCCATTTAAATTCCCAATTTTTTTTGTATTTATTTTACATATTAGATGGAACTGTGATCTTCTAGAAACCTTGACAGTAATATATTCAATGTAAATTTATCTTGTACATATTCTGGCAAATAAATAAAAAAATTTAAAAAAATAACATTTTATTGTTTAACGCTAAAAACACTATAACTATATTACGCCAATATTGGCCAGTATTATATTTACAATATTGTGCCAATATTGTTAACGATATCGCGCCAATATTGTAATGTCAACATTTTGCCAATATTGGACAATATTGACATTACAATATTGGCGAGATATAGTTTACAATATTGCGCCAATATTGTAGACAATATCGCGCCAATATTGCGCCAATATTGTTTGCTGCTTGGGTACGATGGGAGTGGTTAATCAACTAAACAAAACTTTCTTTTTTGATATTTTTTTTAGATAACGACTGGGAGTTCTACTTGTCTCATTTACTAAATTTTAGTCAAATAGGAATATGTTACTTATAAGGCGCATAGAAATACACATGCCTGACATGTCTGCTATTTTTTATATTTATTTGTATACTTTTTGTTACTGCTAACATTTTAAATTTCTAGTTTGTTTTTTGCTTGTTAGAAGATGAAATCTTTTACGAAAAACCTATATTTAAAAAAAAACACATTTTGTGGTGTTAGTTTTTAGAAATATATAAAAGTTTAGATTATTTTTGGTCAAAGGTAAAGCTTGATTTTTATGTGAATATTTTGTATGCTTGTAGACATTGTAATGACTATATTGTTATTGAAAAATTACAAGTAAATATTAAACATTACCAAAAAAATTAATTTGTCACCTATAATTATTGTTGTAGAGATGTTTAGAAAGTTTTCTTTTTTTGATGTACCTGCCAATAGGGTAACCAATTTATTTTTTTACCCATAGAAGAACACAAATCAAATTATATAATCAATTGTTTTATATTCAATTTTTTGACAAAATTAGTTTTATACAAAAGTATCAATGTTACGCGATGCTTCAATATTCAAGCTTAATGTAATATTATGTTATAATCTAATTATAAAAATTAAATTAAACAATTGCTTTACTTAATGCAAACGATAATGTTCATTTGTGAGTATTTGGACACAGAACCTTTGAAAATAATGCCAATATGAGTAAATATTGCTGTAGAGAGCATATATAAAAAGATTTAATTTAAGTAGTATCTTCCCTATTTATATTGTTTTTTTATTTAATACATGATTTTTTTTTGTCTCTGAATTCAAATAAGCTTATATTTAAATAATTGAAATTTTGTTAAAATTTTTTAAAACTTAGTTTCTACTTTATCGATTTAAGTTATAAAAATAGTTTTCGAAAATGAGCTTTTGGTTTATTTCTCACCAAAATATTAAACTTATATTTATTATTAAATCTCTTTAAAATTATAATGAAACAGCTGTTAGAAATTTGACCATAAGTTACCCTAGAATTAAATAGTTTTATGCGTGTTTTGTAAAGATTGGTTTGGATTTATAAATTGAAATTTTTTATAAAAAGTACTTATACTCTAACATAAAAAAATTCCCATCATACTCCTTTTATTAAAACTTCCCTATTTATTAGATCACGATTAAAATTCCCAATTCTTTTTATTACCACCTTCTCCCTATGTAATAAAGACACAAGACTATCTACTTTGTTTAACGTTGAACTACTTTAGTTCAACGTTAAACAAACGTTGTATTACTTTAATGTAAATAACTAAAATTTTAAAAAGGTACTGCAGTACAACAATTAACATCGTTTAACTTAGTGTACCTGAAATCTTTTGACTAGATAGCCAACATACTTTATGATCTTTTAATAGATCAGAATATTTTTCATAATGTAGTAAATAAAATGTAATAAACAAAGTTCACAACTTAATGCTTTCAAGAACATCAAATCTTCTTTGGTCAAAAAAGGTTCTAAAAATACCTAAAGACTTTGGGAAGATTATTTTCAGGAAAATTTTTAAAATAAAAAATATGTATTCAGAGATTCAACTATAAACATACTTTGATATTAATTTAGTTATAACTAAACTTTAAGTTGAAGAAGGTTAAGAAACCTTGGATAAACATGAGATTTAATTTTGTTAGGTGATGTTAGTTTTCACAAAGTTAAATCAGTTCTCTGGTTTGAATAATAATATTTAGCAAACCAGAAAAACCTTAAAAACAATCTTTTGGGCATACCAGATTTGAAAAACATATAAGACATAAAAAATTATAACATAATAAAAGATCCGTTAAAGATAAGCTTGAGGAATTGATGTTTTTGGAAAACTTGGTTGCTGTAAGTAAGTTCATATTTAGGACAGAGGATATTAAGTTGAGTAGAATGGTTCAACTTTAAACTGAAAAAAATTAAGAAGATATTTTTATTATTTATCATTTCACTTAAAATTGATTGTTTTTTTGCTTACTGGCAGCAGAGAGTAACAGAAAGAAACAAAGAACAAAGAAAGGCAATCAATGGAGTCTAATTATAAAAATTAACTCAACTCTGTTAACGACGCTTAAAATAAGCCGTTTTTAGTCAGGATTTTCACAAGGAAAGAGTGATACAATGGTGCTCAATTTTTTTGGGAGTTAGTTTAAACATATTTGCTTCAAATTTAGATGGTTTGGTTTTTTAAAATCAAAAGTTTTTTTTTCTTAACACCCCTATTGTATATCTATTGGCCTATATAATATAACTTACTGAATCAATTTTTGCGTGCTTAAAGTTGTATTGCGTATTAAAATAGAAAATTAGAAAAGAACTTTTTTATGTACTGACTAGAGCACCGGCTAGGTTGACCCAGACCTCTCTAATAAAGATAAGAAGGAGGGGGGTTGGAATTTCGGATCATATTTTGCAAATTTAGAGGTCTTTTTGCAAATATAAGGAGCTTTTATACCAACGCTTTTACTTACTCATCGTCTCATTGTTTGTCTTTGAGCATCAAATCTTGCAATAATTTTTTGAGTCACTTCCTGATAATAGATTTTCTTCAAATTTTGCATACTTACTCTAGCTTGATGACAATACAATATTCAGTAACTAGTTTTGTAATAAGTCAATTAATTTAGTTAATTTTAATTAAGTTTATTTTTTTTATTAGAAAAATAATAATTTTTAAAATAAGTATATTGATTGTTTCCATACTGCACATTTAGCATATTTGGATATGGTGTTGACTTCGTTAACGGAATGTCAGTGGTTCAAGACCTATATCTTCCAAAAGAAATGCAACCTTTTTTGTTTTTTTACACAAGCATACAAACAAATGTTAATAGAATAAAACAGTAATATCAGAAAAAATTGATTGCAAAATTTGTGTATAACATTGTGTATAGCAGATACAGTAAAAGTATACAACTTGTTGAATAAGAAACAAGCAAGAATGAGTTTTGGTTTATTGTAATAGAAGTGATAGCTTGTTTGAGCATTGACCATGATTGTATTTGTAGAAAAAAGAAATGCAACCTTAGAACAATGGGAGAGTGGCTTAAGCTTGGTAGATAAAGCAGGTCTAATTACAATTACAAATTGCGTTTAGACTTTGTCTGAGTCTATATAACAATATTGAAATGCCAACAATATTGCAATATTTTTTTGCACTAAATAAATCAGTTTTATTGTCTAATAAAAATTGTGGATTTTAAATCCAGACTTGAAATCCACAAGCCACTGCAAGACTTAGGCTGTTACAGAAAAAAGTGAAGACTTTTTGTTAAGAGAAGAGTATTAAGTTGAGTGGTCAGGAAATAAAGCTACTTTAGATTTAATGAAGATCGTTATTGTAGATATGTAACAATACAGGAGCAATGGTAGAACCTTTTGGTACCCTTAAAGTTACTTAGAATAAAGAAGATGGTAGGCTTTAAATAACAACATTACTACTGCAGTTAGAAAAAAAAACATTTAATAAGCTCAAAATCTTTATATGAAGAAACTAATAATATAGCAAAAGCTATTTGTAGGATAGTTGGAGAGGTCAAAGTGTTTTCTAGAGTTCTAAAAAATTAGAACCACTTATTTACCACATTATAAAAGTTTAGCAACAATTGAAGAGAGTTTTGGAGAACACTTTTTGAACTATGATAGAAATCTTTTATGGATCACAAACTGTAGAAGTGCTTAATTAAGAATTAACTTTATCATTGGAAACCATTGGAAGAGTGATTTGGATAACAATGACTTAATCTGTCCAAGTGCTAGGAAGAGTATGGCTATTATATTCAAGAGTCAAATAAGGATAAGATTTTTTTGCAAAGAAATCTGCTTTATTCTGGGGAGAAGTAAAAGAAACACATGAACTAGAGATTAAATGTTAGACTTTAGTTAACGACAATGTTGAAGACTAAACAAAAGTCTCTGAAACCAAACATCTGAAAAAGATTCAAGATTTAGTAAACTGAGAATAACAGAGCTTAACATCAGACAGGACTTTTTTACATTAGCTTTTTGAAATAATAAAAGGTAATTTTTTCTTAATAGAGATGTTCTTGTAAAAAAGATGAAAAAAAAAATCATTATTGTTTAATAAGCAACTGCCCAAGATGGTGAAAAATGTGGAGTAGAACGAGGCTTGAATTAAAATTGAAGAGAAGTATTAAAAGCTTCCAAACATTCATTTTAGAAAAGCTAAAAGTTTCTTAGATGCATTTTATGCATACATATTATGGATATAAACATGTCTGATTACTATTTATTCAAATGCAGGCATACAATATCCTTTTATTGTTAAATAAACTTTAGAATTTATGGAATAGTATTTGTGAAAAGTAAAAAAACGATCAGATGAATGTTTGGTGTGACTAAACAATTGGATGTGTGGTATGACATAAAATAGAAGGCATAATCTTAGACAGATTCAACAAAACATTGTATTGAACAATGTATGTTAAACAAAGATAAAGTAATTTAAGCATCAGCATATAAAGATGTAGCAGCTTCAGTAAAAAATGGTAGTGGTAGTAGGAAAACTTAAAGAAAGTGCCTTACATATTGTATAATCTTTTGGCATATGCCGACGATATTGTATTGAGTGCTCCATCTTGGTTTACATTGCAAAATTATTGACTGCATTGAATGTTGAAACCACTGCTATTAACATGCCATTTAATACAACAACAAAAAAACGATGTGTATGGTATTTAACCCAAAACAGAGATGTAAGAATGTGTCAAGCAACTTTTCACTATTTACCTTAGCTGAATGTGATTTAGTTTCATCGACAAATTCATGAATCTGGTTCACATAATAGAAAATGGTTTGTTTGATAATGCTGATATAAATCGAGAGATGAAATGTCTTTATACGGGTACAAACATTAATTAGACGATTCAAGAATTGCTTGATTAAGGTAAATGTGCAACTATATATGACCTACTGTCTCTGTTTTAGTGGCTCTATGGACTAATTTTAGTGCAAATACTATGTTAAAACCAGACTCTTGTTACAAGAAATGTGCTAAAATGTTTTTTGGATATGACAAGTACTCAAGCGCTAAAAGCATTGAAAATGAATTGTTATATAATCATTATTTTGTTACTTTCACAACTACTATGATTACATTTCCATTATTAATATACAGAATATATATTTATTAAAATAAATTTTGCACTCAACTGAGTTGCAAACAATTTTAGTCATAGTATATTTGTTAGACCAATAGCTTTTTAACTATCTTTTTTATTATTTTATATTTACATCTTCTAGAATTTAAAACACATACTAGCAGCTTAGAAAAACCCACTGGTGAGCTCCAAAAACTGTAATCAATCTTATCAATTTTAAGTATTATGTTAAATAAAGTTCAACCAAAAGCAGACTTACTTTTTAATTATAAGCAAATGAATATAAAAGATATAAACCAGTTTTTTTTAAAAAGAAAAAACTGGTTTATATCTTTTATATTCATTTGCTCTACACCAGCTAAAGGGTTTAAAAAAGTATAAACCTACATAAAGTATAAATTATAATGCGATAAATATATATAATATAAATACATAAATGGTAGTTCTGTACAAAAAATAAGAAACTGGTTTTATTAATCAAACACTGAGAAGATCAATAGTGAAAAAAGAAGGAATTGCAGAGTTTTGTAGTAAACGAACAGCAATTTTAATAAATGTTATTGGCAGTAAAAAAACAAAGTTTGAGTAATAAGTTTAAGATAATGAGATCTTAAAGCAGAAGATTTACTTTAAGACAAAGAAAAAGAAGAAAAATAAGAAAAATAAAAATAAAAGCAAGGCATAAAAAAAACAGCTGCAGCTATGTCATAATGATATTAGGAATATAGGTTTTATTATACAGAATGAGGTGCTACTTTTGTAGTTACAAATATTTCAATAGATTGACACAAAGAAATTCAAGTTAATTTACACAAAAACATTTAAGCTAATAAATGTGATAATAGTGATAACCCGAAAAGTAAAGTATTAAAGAGAGCTTTAATTATGATTGTGAATTTGATAATTGTCTAAAAAATGTTTACTTATATAAATATTAAGTTTAAATAATTTGAAAATTTGTTTAAATCAAATATAAATAAAAATGTAAATTAAAATAAATTTTACTTTTTAACTTTTTTCAGTTATGAAATGTTAAATCTGTTTTTATTTAAAATAAAAAAGATAAATAAACGATTTATTCATGCTTAACTTTATGTTTAAAGAAAAGATTTAGATTGTATAATATTTTTTACTACCCGTAATAGTGAATCTAAAGAACACTTTGGATTCTTTAGATTAATTTCGCTCATCAGCAATAATTTGAATTTAGTTCAAATTTTTTAAAAAAAGTTCCTTAATTTACTACTGATCCTAGTTCTAATTGGTTCAGACTTATATTAACTATATATAGTTGTCAAAACACAATATTTTTATCAATTTACTTTACTTTATGTTTAGGCTGTCAAGCAGCAACTTTCGAAAAAAATGACAAAAAATGACGGTATTTTGAGAATAAAGATGACAAAAAATGAAAAAAAATGACTGCTTTCATTATAAAAATGAAAAGTTTATTAATTTTATTTTGGAAATAACAAACAAAATAACAAACAAAATCATCCGCCATCAATAATTTCTTTTAAAAATGAAAATCTCAACATCTTTTTTTTGTTTAACACGCAATAAAACGTTTTTAGTCTAAAAGTCTAAAATAATTAACATAAATAAATAAATTTTGCTAACTAATTATAACTGAACCAACAGTTCAAGCTCTACTATATTTACAAAAACTAATTTTTTACAAAAACTAATTTACAAAAACTAACTAATTTACAAAAACTAACTAATTTACAAAAACTAACTAATTTACAAAAACTAACTAATTTACAAAAACTAACTAATTTACAAAAACTAACTAATTTACAAAAACTAATTTTACAAAAACTAACTTTTCTCACATATATATTTATTTGCAGAGTAGACTAACCAACAAAAAACTTGTGTATGTAAACACATAAGTTTTTTGTTTAAGTTCTGATTGTGTCAGGTCTTTTCAAAGCACAACACCATTTAAAATTACTGAATGTTGATTAATGTGTACAATAAAACTGCAACTGCTGCCTACTTTTCCTTTTTTAAGTATTTAAAATAATTCAAAAGAGGAAAACTGTTGTCTAAACTTCCCCTCCTTCTCCTTGTTAATCAACCTCAAGATAAAAATTCATAACCTTTCCCTATTTTCATGACATTATTAGAGAACAGCCCATTTTGTAAAATATTATATATAAATTTGTAATTTTTTAACTTAATGGCAAAATAAAAGAATGAAAAAAAGCTTACATATTCTTATAGACATTAACCTAACATTGTTGATTTTAGCTTTTTTACTTTATCTAATTTCCCCTTGATATGTGTCTTGTTTCTGACCCTGGATATCACTCGGTTTTTATATTTTTCTTTATGTGATATCAAGTCACGCAACCAATACATTATGTGCAGAAAAAATACAGATAATGTAAAAAATGCAACTGTATATATAGAGCTACGTGTCCTTTAAAAAATCAATGTCTATTTAAAATTATTGTCTGTTTAATTTTAAACCTTGCTAAAAATAATTTAAACTAATTTAACAAAAATTAATAATCAAATCAAAATTTGGTAATTGAAAAATATTATATTACCATACAATTAATTTCATAAAACAATCTTATACTTAATATAACTTTCTGTTTGTTTATCACAATTTATTTGTTTTAATTTTAACGTATTTAATGTAGTACTTTTAATAAAGATTATAAACAATTTATAGAAGATTTTATAAGTTACCAATAAATATTTGTACACAAAATTTATATTCTTGAACGTATTATGTCAAAGAACTTTACAAGACATTAAATTAATAAGAAACAAAAAATGCATTTGTGAAAATAATTCTGTTAAACAAAAGCACTTCTCCCTTTTCATAAGGAAAAAAAATTTAAATTTTCTTTTGCTTTCAATAATTTATGATAATAAAAATTAGTATTTTTGTTTAAAAAATAAAGCTTTTCAGTAAGTAGAAGGAAATAAAAATATGATTTCTGTTTGGTATTGTTACCTCGAAATTTTGTTTCAATTTTATTCACAATATCTAAACGATCAAAATCCATTAACTTTTTTTTTAATTGCTCCCATGAAGGATTTCCATTTTTTTGCTTCCATTTTTTAAAAACATTATCAGCTTTCTCATAACAATTTTTGTTATCAGATCTAATATTATCAAGATCTGCATCACTTAGACCTAGGTGTCGTCCCCATCGCAACCAATCACTTCCAATATTATAGCTTATTTCACCACACAGTTTTGAAATAAATTCATCTGAAGCCAATTTATGTCTAGACACTAAATATAAGAAATTTAAACTTTAAAAAAAAAAAGAGGTAGTTAAATTTATAAAAACAAAAATTGAAAAGAAATTTGATGTTTATTTGTATATAAAAATGATTTTGTAAGAAATTTAAACAAATTGATCAACAGATTGATTTATTAGATAACTTAATTGGTAAAATGTATGATATATCAAAAGTGTTAAGATTCATAATTTAAAAAAAAAAACGATCTATAACAATACAAAAATTATTAAATTTAAGGATAAACACAAAGATTATTGATTAACAACAACAAATTTTTTATTTTGTTCAATATCTAAATTAACAACAAACAAAAATGCAACAAACTGTACTAAAATTAAACTATTCTTTATGTTACAAACTTTATTAACATTCCTGTCTTCATAATCGCTAAAGTCCGCTGTGATTCAGAGTTTATTGAGCCATGGAAAATGCATATTTTTAACAGTGATGCTTATAAAATACATGGAACTACAAATTTTTTTTCAGCTAAAGACAACTTTATTAAAAGACATTGAAAAGCACCAGAAGATGGTCAAAGTCCACTTGTTTATTAAACAAAGCTATGCATAAATTATTCATGCAAATAAATAAATAAATGTTTAAATTATGCTAAAAACACTTTTTTGATTTTTAGTGGGTAGGAAATATCTGTTTGAGTTAAAATTATTATTTTCTTTGTATCTGTATTGCTGAGAAACGTAAGTCAAATTTAAATGTCTTCAAATAATTATAATGCAGAAAACAATAAAGAAAAATTAAAAATCTTTTGTTTAGTTTTTTATATTAATTAGCTTATAAAAATAGTTACATTTTAATTTTTTCTTTTTTCTTGACATTTTTTTTAACTATTTGTGTTAGAGATTGAGTAACGCAATACTTGTGGACCTTATTGCTTGCAGAGTCACTGACACTAGAAACAAACCATTCAGTGCAATGAGCATTACAGTCACCAACAACACTAATATAAGCTGATGGATAAAGAGAAAGGGCTTGGTCAATATAATCAAAAATAACAAAAAAAAAAAGTCGTCTTGATATGAAGGAGAGCCATATAGAACAAAGAGAATGGCGATGAGGTGATGACTAAAGTGGTGCTAAACAAAAGCACATAAGAGAATATTCGGTTGGTTCAAACCTAGTTTGCCAACAAACAGATGAGCTCTTATGAATGTAAATACCCAGGTCAAGCATATAAAAATTGGAGTTTTCATTAGTTAAAAATACTCCAAGCAATTGCGTACTTTCTATAAATATATCCTTATTTGTAACAAAGAGGTCAAAATGTGGCTTACACAATGTACACCAAAACTACAAACAGAGACACCATCCATGCACAACATGACACTATTAGTACTCTGATATTTTACAGCGTTTGACGGAATTAGTCTCTCTGAAAAATACCACAGAGTTTAGGAAACCTGACTACTAGCCAGCCTCAGAATAAAAAAAATGAGTTCTAACAGATTAAAAAAGAAGAGCAAAACTGGTCACCAGATAGCATCTATTTACCCATATAAAATATATCTAGCTATAAAATACAATAAGTTCTTTTCTGGTTTGAGTTAGGTTTTGTAATATCAATTTGAGTTTTCATTTAATACTTGTGAGTTTTCAATTTGACATTTAAGATTTTTTTTTTTTTTTAAACAGTAAGTTTCTGTTTGCTTATATTTTTATTTTTTGTTTTATTCAATTCACTTTTAACAAGAAACCACTATAAAGTTGAGACTATACTATAAAATAAAATAGTGTTAAGAAGCAAGGAAACAGGTTTAGAGAAGAACTAAATAGTTGAAGATTACATGATTTTATAAAGATAAAGATTAGAGAGAGTGGAAAAGCATTGAAGTGTATGGAAAGATACTAGATAGATAAAAGATTTTAGAGCATGAAAGGACAGAGAAAAAAAAAGAACGCAAACTTGATGAATGACGAGTTAAGCTGAAATGAGTGTTGGTTGGTGGAGCTAAAGATAATAGTTATTGTAGTGCATTGACTATTGTTGTATTTGTAAAAAAGAAAGAGATGAAAGCTTACGACGATGGCAGAGAGGCTCAATCTTATTTAATAGGTCCAACTACGTTAATAACGTCTTTTCTGACCTTGTTTAGAAAAGAAAGATCATCATTAGAAGAACCAGCCTATATAATAATAGAACCAGCCTAAACTTATTTTGTATAATTGATATTTTACAACAGTATCCAATACAGAAAGGTTCATCTTTTTTTTGTAAACAAAATTTCTTAAAGTACAAATATTATTGATAGTAGTTAAAATAAAAAGAAAGGCTTTCATTAGTTTTAAATGAAGCTTTAATATATTTTATACTTATTATATTATACAACTCTTGAAATTAGGATAAGCATTCAGCAATGTCTCTCTAAGTGCAAACTTTAAAGTGGTCAGCAAAAATTCATAAAAGATCATAATTAGAACAGTATTCAATTCAGAAAGGTTCATCTTTTTTTTTTGTTCAAAATTTCTTAAAGCGCAATTAATATTGAAAGTAGATAAAATAAAAAAAAAGGCTTTCATGAGTATTAAATGAAGCTTTGTATTTATTGTGTTTTACAACCCTTGAAATTGGAATCAGCATTCAGCAATGTCTCTCTAATTGCCAACCTAGAAGTTTTTGTGGTCAGCAAAAATTCTCAGACCTTATTTCTATATTTTATAAAAACCGCTATGTGTCAAATTATTTTCCAAACCTGATGCCAACTTCTAACAGTTTGAGGATGGCAATTTGCTTCTGACCTCAAACTGTTAGAGGTTGATTTCAATTCCGAATGCTAACAATCAAATAACATTATTATACATTAAATATTTTGCAAGAACAAAAAGAATCTGTTAGCTCTAGAAAAATGAAAAAAAAAAAAAGATAATTAAAAAATATTCTATATTTCTAAATTAAGATCAATAGTTTAATAAGCAGTAAATTATTAAAATAACTAATACAACTTAATTATAGAAATAAAAAGTATTTTTATTTCTATAAATTTCCTTATTCCAAGGATAATAAAATGATATACAGAAATGAGTCATTTTTTACTTTGTATAATTGATTTTTTGTATGATTGTTTTTTTTAAGATATGCAATTTAAATATAATTTTTTGGGTTCATCATTTTTGTTACAAAAATAAATAACATTTCAGTTTATTCAATAGTTATGTTTTCTTTTAATGTCTTTTTTATCATCAACTTTTCTTCATTTATTTTCCATTTACTGTTTTCTCACAATAACATTTCAAACTTATTAACGATTGTTTTTCAATTTTTTCTCCTTATTCAAATCTTTGTGTGTTGTAAAATTCAACAAAATCTGAACTTTTTTAATGACAAAGTATGCCGCTTTAACGTGGGTATACCACTGGAACTTATATATTACAAAGAAATAAGTTTATTCTAACTAAAATTTGATGAACTTTATATAACATTTAGACGTTAGGTACCAAACTATATGTCATCATAGCTTAGCAAGAAACATGTGTGTTCTCTTCTCTGTATCAAAGTTTTAAATATTTAATATAATTAAAAGCCTAATATCTAATTAAAACAAAATAGATATGCACAAATAATATAAATTAATATAATTAAAAAAAATAAATATAATTATATTTAATTTTTTAAATTATATTAATTTATTTCTTATTATTTATTTCGAAATTTTTTATATGTTATTAAATTTATTTATTTCATATTAATTTAGTTTTATTTATTTTTTCTTTTATTATATATTTTTTTTTTATTATATTTATTTCTTTCATATTAATTTATTTTTTATTATTTATTTTGAAATTTATTTCTTACAATTATATTAATTTATTTCTTATATTTAAATTTATTTCTTATAATTATCGAATTTATTTCTTATAATTTTAATAATTATAATTATAATTATTATATAACTATCGATTTTATTTCTTATAATTACGAATTTTATAATAGAATATTTATAATAGAAATTTATAATAGAATATTCAAATATTTCACAAAAAATAACCAATTAAATAAAAAAATACCAATTAAATAAAAAAAAAATTTATTTAAAAAATTAAATAAAAAATTAAATTAAGAAAAAAACAATTAAATAAAAAAATAGGCCTCCTAGGCAAAGACTTAAGGGGTAAACAGATTCTATCTGTTGACCAGCCTCGAACCCCTTCCTCATCTATTAGGCTGGCGCAGATGTATTTTTAATACATTGTTTCCAGTTTAGGATGTTGAACGCTGGATCTTCTTGACTCAATGCGTGGGTATTGCTTGTGTCTCTATTTTTATGACTGGACACTCATTCTATTATCTCCTAATGAGGGTACAGCTCTAAAACTCAGTTTTATGGTTCTGAGGCCGGCTGGTAGTCAGGTTTCCCGAACTCTGTGGTAGCTCTCAGAGAGGCTGATTCCATCAACAGCCGAAAAATATCAGAGTACTAACAGTGCCATGTTGCGCATGGATGGTGTCCCTGTTGGTACATTTGGTGTGCATTGCAGAGGCCACATTTGGAGCCCTTTGTTACGGCTCAGGATTTATTAATAGTAATGAGGTTATTTCTTAGTTGTTAAATAGTGTACTGAGTACTATCTATACTTGAGTCAAGTTCTTTATAAATTTAAAATGACTAAAGTACCTAAAACTAAAAAACACAAAAAACCATCGTCATCACCAAGTTCTCTAAACCTATCATTTACTAATATTCCTGGTCTTCGAAGTAACTTTTCTTCTGTTGAGTCTTATCTCTTGCAAAGTTCACCAGACCTACTTGCTCTTTGTGAGACTAATTTGAGTTCGGCGTTCCCATCTTGTGATCTTAGTGTTGATGGTTATCTTCCTTTAATTCGTAAAGACTCCAATAATCACATGCTTAGCCTGGGCATCTACATTCGTAAGAACTCACCCATTTGTCGTGAAACTAGGTTTGAATCTACAGACTATTCATTTATGTGCTTTCGTTTAGCACAACTTCACTCTATCGCCTTTCTCTTTGTTCT